GTAAAGCCTGATGGACGGGAGCAGGTGTGCAGGGACGGCGGCCGTGGGGGTGAGGGGTGCGTGAGGAAGAGCCCCAGGCGGCGAGGTCCAGTTCTCCAAGCAGGGCCCCACTGCCCTTCCCTTGGCCCCTTGCCTCCTTTCCCTTTCTTTGCATGGAGACCCTTCCCTCGCGTCGGGGTAGAGCTGTGGGCCGGGGGCTCTCCCGGCGGGGAGAAGCTAGCAGCACCGCCTTGGCCCCGTGGAGTCGCCCTCACCTGCGGGTTGAGTCTACCCTGAGCTACACAGCCTGGCGAGAGCCTGCACCCGGGGCTCCCCTCCTCGCCCAGCCTGGGCGCCGGCCACGCTCTCTCAAAACCTTATCCGTCTGTTTCGTGGGTGACATTGCATCTTCCCGAAACAGGACCCAGCAGAGCTCAGAGCAGCTGCCGGACAACTGTGAACCGGGCACAGAGCCATGTCCTCAGGGAGCCCTGCACGCCCTCTCGGCCCCGGCGCCCCCTGGTTCTGTCCCAGCCCCCGGCCCCCCAGCACCGCTAGACTGCCCCCTCCCATCGTCCATGCAGCACCACCGCCAGCCCTCTCCAGCGTTCACTTGGCAAATCCTGCCCCAGTCCTCCCGGCCCGCCCAGTGGGTGCTGCGGGTCCTGGCAGGCGGCCGGGGGCACGCACGCCTGCAGAGGGAACTAGGAAATGAGATGGGCTCTCCTCCCCCAACGACCTCCCAGCTCTGCCAGCAGACCCATCCCTCGCAGACTGCATTGTTTTCAATCCAATCTCGTTTTTATTGAAGTTTCCTCCAGGGTTAGCTCAGGAGACGTCTCCCCCTAGCCTCTTGCGAGTGGCCTTATTTACCAGAATCCCCTCAGTGTGGCATTTAACGTCTCCATTAACATTTCGTGCATCTTGCTCATCGCGCGCATGGGCCCTCCGAGACCTCCGGGGTGGCGGGCACACGGCAGCCTGCAGAAACGCCAGGCTTATTTTAATTGGTTTGAAACCGTCGCTGTCGACCACAGAGGGGTCTCTTTCCTTGAGTAATGACCTGGAATTTGATCGTGCAGCTTTTATTAGCTTGTCACACGGAACGTGTAACTGTGTGAGATCAAAGCGAGAGCCAGGCGCCCATCTGCCCCCCACGGCGCTCTGGCTGGGCACGCAGCTGCCCCCCGCAGCACGCTCGCCAGGGCGCGCCGGCCACGCAGGCCCTGAGGACACGCAGGAAGTGCCTCCTGGCAGCCGGCAGATGGTGGCTCTGGTGGGCGGTGGGGAATCGCCTCGAATGAGTTTCTGGCCAGGCAGGGTCCTGTCCCGAGCTCTCCTGAAGGCCTGCCCGGAGACACGGAGGAATCGGCCGCCTGTGGCCAGGACCACGGTCCCATCAGCTGCGGGAAGGGGGAGGTGGGCTGATGCCTTATCTGCTTGAAGAGGTTTGCTTGCCAGGGGCAGGGAAAGCCATCTCAGCGCCCGGAACTTGCTGGCATCTGACCCGGGGGCCCAGGGCGCTGTGCCTTTCCCTTGCTCTCATCATGCGGAGGAAAGCGAGAGCCCCTGAGTTCAGGGAAGCACCGGTGGTCTAGCGTCTGCAGTGCTGGAGCGCGTGGTTCCCACCACCTGCCCCAGCCCTCGTCTCCAGAGCAGTGAGGCCTCCCCTCTGCTCGGGCTGGTTGTACATAAGGAAAACCTCTGCGGGCAGTTGAAGATGCAATTTCATGGCCCTGGAAGTGGAGGGACAGTGGCAGGGAATGATCTGGCTCTTTCCAGAATCGTGCTGCTGCACATGCCATGTGTCAGGCCCTCAGGGCCGCTGGCGAGTCTGTGGCATTAGAGTGTGGAAGGACTGTGCCGCCGGCCGCCACTCGTGTGTCATCGGGGTCTCCCGCTCCCTCCAGGGACTCACAGTCCAACCACATTCATCTCAAAGGAAATTTGGGGAATTTTTGATAATTAAGGTGAATATAATAAATAATAAATTTCTATGTTCCTCCACCTGTAGTTAGCAATGGTTAACGTGTAGCTATACCGCGTTATCTTCTGAAAAATGAAAGGAGGTGGGCAGGCAGGGCAGGTCCCCTCTGACCTCTCCCAGCCTCGTCCCTGCCCCCTGACACACACACCCAGACGTGGATTCAGCGTCCACTACTCTGGTCCCTCGAAAATGCATTTATACACACATGACTGTGAGTAACAAATAGGGCGTCTTAAAGCTCCCGTATGTGACCTCTTCCTGGGAACGGCTTCATTCATTCAGCATCGAGCGTCGTGGCTCCTTCCCGCTGGCGTGTGTGTTTCCGACCCGTTGTCTCTCTCTGCCGTGTGGGAACCTCCCTTAGGGATCGGCTACTTTGTCTTCATCCCCCCTTTCCTTGGTGGCCCCTTGGTTGTTGTTGGCAAAACATCGCTACTGCAGAGGATGCCCCTGCCTGGGACGTGTCTCCTTGTACCTGGGGGACGTGGGTGCACCTGGCCGTGAGTGGCTGGGTCTCAGAAAGTTCTGGATCCTGGCCCCGGCTCTGTGATGCATCCTCACGGGCGCAGAGACCACCACTTGGCCCGTGTGCCTCCCTGCGGGCATGAAAAGATGGCAACAGGCCATCCTGTTCCTGAATCCTCGGTTCCTCCGTGTGCGGGCTGGACTCTCCCACTTGGGAAGCAGGCTGTACCTTGGCAAGAAGTGAAACCAGTGTACTTGTGAAAAAGAGATGAAGAGAGAAGGGACGGAAGGGAGGGGAGGGGTGCGTAGGGAACCATTTGCCAGCATTTGGGCTTCCCTGTTGGGTCCCCTTTCTGTGAACCCCACTTGACGAGCAATCCTGGCCTGCGACCTCCCTGGTGAGAGGCCGAGCAAGTGTGTTTCAGGTGTGACCCCTTGCTGCCCTCTGAGGCCCTTTGGCCGCCTGACTCTCAGCCTGGCCTGGCAGGACCAGGGTCCCCAGAAGCAATGGAGGGACACCGTCCTAGAAGAGGGGGATAGAGGGCCCAGAGGAGAAACAGCTGCCTCTGCTCAGAGGCTGGAGATACTCACTCGTGGCCACGGGGTAGCTCCTGGACGGGGAGAACAGGCAGGGGCACCTCCTGGTCTGGGGGCATCTGCTGGGCTCAAGACCCAGGCTCCTGTTCCCTCTCTGGCACTTTGCTGAACCAGCGCCTGGGGTGGGACCACCCACGCTGCTGCCTAGTGACCCTGCTACAGTGGGCTCTGGATGGTTTCCTGGGCTGTGCAAGAACCCACGTTGCAGACAGGGAAACTGAGTCACCCAGAGACTCAGCGTAGCAAGGGCGAGGACACGGTGGCAGTCACGAGCCGTCCTGGGCCAGATTCCCCGGGTTCAGGTGCAAGGTGCACCAGCAAGCACTTGTTGACCTCCAGGGTCACTGGAAAGGTCACCAGGTGCAGCCAGAAGAAGGTTCTGGGAGCCTTTATTATCCTAAGGCCCCATCCTGTCTGTCCTGCTACCCTCCTCCCTGGGTGGGGCAGGACCGCCCCTCACGTGTGCTCCTTCTCCAGCCAGAGGAGGACCAGGCAGTGGCAACAGCTTGGTTTTATGAAGCCAATAAAATCTCGAGTTCCTGAGCAGGAGGGTTTCCTGGCCTGAGCCCAGCAAGTACCTTGGGACGGGCGTCATGTTCCCCTCCCAGGAAGGCTGCCATCTGTCCCTGCCCACCACGCCCTGTCCCCGTCAGAGGTCCTCAGGCCAAGCCCTTTGGTGTCATCACCACCCAGCCTGGACTCGGGATGGTGCTCACCCCACCTGTTCTCTGTGACACTGGGTGTCTCCAGTCCCCCTTCCTAAAAATCCGCCCCATTCCCATCTCCCCCGCACGGCTTTCCCGCACTCCGTCTTTGTCTCTGGGACTTTTCCTGGTGTGCCTCATTCCTGGGGCCTGCTCCAGCTTCAGGGACGCGGCCCCACCTCCCTGCACACACGAAACCCTGCGAATCGATTCTGAAAACCATCAGTCACAGTACAGTAGCGCTGCTAACTGTGGCATTTTGCTTTGCACTTATTGATACATCATCGGGACTGAGAAGCCGGCTGTGGGTGGGCGCTGGGCCGGGCACAGAGGACGGCGTGTGGGGACAACTATCCTGCAAATGTCAGGGACCAGCACTCTGGCCACCTGGGCCGGTTGTGAGGCTCACGAGGAGTCTGGTGCTGGACTGGGAGTCAGGGCCAGCGTGTCCTTGCACCCCAGTGATGGCTGGCCCCTCACTGCCTCCTCTGTCCCTTCCGAGCCATCAAAGGGCTGAGCTCCTGCAGAGGTGCAAGCCGGAGAGGCCGCAGAGGTGCTGAATCAGCCACGGTTCTCCAGAAAAACAGAACCACTAGGACTAGCTACCAATCTGCCAGTCTGCCTATGTCTACCTGTACGATAGAGACTGGATGGATGACGGCTGGAAGGATGGATGGATCGGTAAAGAAAAGAGGTTTGTTTTAAGGAATTGGCTGGTCGTGGTGAGCCAGCAGGTTTTGATGAGCGAGGTTAAACATCTAGATAAACTGCAGGTCCGTACCCACAGCAGGTCCTGGTCAGCCGCACACCCCGGGAGTCTGGCCCGGTGCTGGGGAGCCCAGCCTGGTGATGGGGGTGCTGCTGATGACTTGCCCCCAGCAAGGCTCTGCTGCCTACAGAGGAGCACTGGGGCCCGCGCTGGGAACCAGCGACACGGGCCGTCCCGCCGTCGCTCTGCTCGTTGCCAGCCGGACCCCATGGGCTACAGGCCCCCTCCCCTCGGGTCCCGGGGCCCGGTCTGATAGTGTGCATCTCACCACGGGACAGCAGCGAGCGGCTGGGAGCCTCGAGGTGTGAGCAGGGATGCTTTGTTAGAACTCCTCCCAGCCCGACGCGTCCTCAGCTGCAGCGTTCAAAGGTGCCGTTCCCATGACACTGTGTCCTGTGGTATTTTTAATCAAGAGCGCGGGAGAGCGTGCGTCTGATGCACTTCAGATATTCAGAGATTGAAAATGGTTTTGTTCTCGTGTTTTCTTTTCCAAATACAGCGTTAAGTCAGAACGGCCAGAGGAAGATCCTGCCGGCATTTCCCCCGAGCTGGTCCGCAGGCCCCTCCGGCCGGGAACCCGTCCCAGGAGCTGTCCGTCGGCAAACAGGTGGGTACCCCTTCCAGTCGCACTTTCTGCTCCACCTGGAGCCGGTTCACGGATCAGGCCTTCGGTGGGGGGGGCGGGGCTGCGGCGTCTGGGGGCTGGGGGCAGCAGGGTGGCACCTGGGCAATGTGGTGATGCGGCGTCAGCTGGGGGACCCATGGTTGGTAGAGAGCAGGGTCCCCACCTCCCCCGCCCCCACTACATGGCTCCTCAACCCTTCCGTGTTTTTCACCTGCTGTTGCTCAGGCCCATGCACTAAAATGCAAATCAGCGAGTGTATAATAGATAATTAATAGACTGATCAGCCAGCAAGGGAGGTAAGTAGATAAATAATTTTAATCATCCTTGGGCTGCCCATAAATTCCCTCACTGCCTTTTTATTAAACTCTGTTTACAGGAGTCATTCATATTGCATGCCATTCTGCAAATCCCTTCCTTGGCGTCTCCCACCAGGTCCGACCTGGAGCGGAGGCACCGCGTGACAGCCAGGTCTCTTCCCGGCAGGGCCCAGCTCTGGCACAGGTCGTGGGCCCTGCCCAAGCAGCAGTGATAGGAGGCACCAGGGCAGACTGTGCCCAGCTCCCCGAGGCCCGCCCTCTGCTCCCCACTGTGGCCGCAGCCTATATTTAGACAGACTCTGAAACCTTTATTATGCTTGGCACCTGTGCCGTAGGTATGCGCTCCTTCTCCTCCCCGGGGATGGCCTCCGCCTATTAATAGCCTTGGCTGAGGCTTCCTCATGGCTCCGAATGCCAAGAGAGAAAGTGGGTTAATAAATATAAAAGAAAAGTCCTGTAAGAGGGCCTGGGGCCAAACTCTCTCTCAGACTCTCCAAGAGTGGCAGCCGACGGGGCACAGGGCTCCCTCCTCCCCAGCCAGTCCCCATCCTCCTCCACCCAGAGGCCCGATGCCTGGCCAGCAGGTCTGGGGACCAATGTCAGAGAAGGGCTCCGGGCTTCCAGGGAGCTGGGATGGTGGAGGCACGGGGGTGGGAAAGGCTGCCATCCGGGTGGGGCAGAGGAGGGTTTTGGGTGGCTGGAGGAGACAGGGAGTCCTCTCCTGCCTCCCCCTTCCCACCCGCATGGCTTCCCCATCGGTTTCTGCTGGTGCCCTCGTGCACCTGCAGGATGGAAGAGGAGGGGGGACGTGGCCATTGGGATGGTCACCAAGCAGGACGCATCTCTCCTCACCTTGTCCCCCGCTCCCGGAGTCTGTAGCAAGGAGAGCTTGGCTTGAGTTAGAATCACCTGTTCAGAGTGGCGTCCCAGGAACAGAGCAGGGAGGGGACAGGGAAGCTCCCTGAAGACAGGGGTGCCCAGGTCTGCTCACAACCCAATTCCACAGTGTCCACTGCACAAGGCGATGGCTGGCGTTCGAGATAGACGTGTAGGCTGTCCCCCACCCCCGGCTGGCACATCATCAGCTGACGCTCCAGAGTGCCCTTGGGCCAGGGCATGCTTCTGTTCCCAGCCTGGTGCTGTGTGGGCATGCTCCTAGGATCTGTGCTCCTTCAGTGGGTCACCGCCACCCCAAAGAGCTGAGGCTCCCGCCTTGGGACACGGCCGCCGCAGCCCACTGTCTGCAGGCCTGCTGTCAGAAAGTTCTCTCCAGAGCTTCCAACCCCTGTTGGGTAAATTCCTCTGGGTTTCACCCGGTCGAAATGAAGTCAGACCGTAGATGTTGCTGGTTTTACGCAATGCGACTGTCCCTAGCTGCTCCAGCGGGACAGCTGACGAGGGCAGAGCCTGGGCAGCCTCCTGCTGCTTCTCGGGCCGGGCGCTGGTGTCCACAGCAGGCCGCCTCGATGGCCCGCTGGGCTCATAGCTGCCTCGTCGTGTGTCCCCCTCGCAGGGCGACTGTTTTCCGGGGGCAGAGAGGGGATTCAGGCTGAACAGGTGCAAGGGCCACTCTGTGGAATTACAGTCCCTTCAGGAGTTTATTTAGCTCAGAGCTGCGTGCCCACCCTGCTGCCTCCCCGGCCCACACGGGCTGAGTGGGAGGAAGACGGGCCAGGGAGGAGGCAGAAAGAGCTGGCGGGGCAGCTTTGCCAAGCGCTTCGTCCCTCTGCTCAGTTCAGGGCAGGCTGGAGGGGTGGCCCCTGTGCCCGCTTTCATCACGGTCTGTGCAGGGCGGTCAGACAAGGGGCCAGGACTGTGCCTTCGTTAGGGTGGGGAGGCACGGGGAACGTACATCTTCTCAGAACTGAGAGCAAACCCCGTCGTGACAGCTCTGCGTCTCTGGCTCTTCTGGTCGTTCGGGGGATATTTTTAGGGCTTCTTATCTGTTTCTGTTTTGGGGGAATTGGGGTCAGGTGTAAAGAAAGAATAATGAATGAAAGACAGGAGCAAACCTCGGCCACCCGGTGATGGGCACCAGAGCAGGGCTCCTCGTGCTCTGGGGCCTGCTGGCCCGTGAGCAGGAGCCAGGTGGGGAGGGGGTGCTTCCCCTCTCTCTGTCAAGAGGCCTGTAGCTCCGCGGGGTGCGCACACCTCTTCCTGTGCCTGAGCCTCAGGCAGCCCTGTGGGACCCCTCCACTGCCAATGAGGCCGCGGGGAACCTGATGCAGGACTCAATCCCAGAACCCCGGGGATCACGCCCTGAGCCGAAGGCAGACGTGCAACCACTGAGCCACCCAGGTGCCCCTGTAAGGTTTTGTTGTCATTGTTGCTTCAAGGCACCTTCAGGAGCATGCATTGAGGTGGATTTTCACCTCGTTTCACTTCACTGCGTAGAGGTATCCTAATTTACTTACCCAAGCCCTCAGGTGTGCTTTCAAGGACCAGGAGGGCATTAGCCTCTGCCCCTGTTTCCAGAACTCTCTGCCACACTTCAGGAAACCAGAAGATTAATTTCCCAAAAAGGAATTAGGAGATGATTATTCACACCACAAAGGAGTCTGCAAACATACCCTCCAAAGACCTTCCCTGATACGTGGGCTCCTCGGGGGCATTCAGACGGGCTCCCACGTAGAAGATCCCAGGTCACCGCCAGTTGCGCGGAGGGTGGCACGGCTGCCTTCATGCTGCCTTCCCTTCCTTCATTCCCGGGTCAGCACGTACATGTGAGCACACACCAGCACACGCACACCCACGCCCATGCATGCTCACACACACAGCACACGCACGTGCAAGCACACACGCATACGCACACCACATTGGGAAGCTTTTTCCCCTGGTCGGTGGAGAGGCGATGATAATTTAATTCATCATTAATCACATCGATTTATCAGGTGGTCTACTCCCAGTAGCCATGACTGGGGGATAAACTATCAGTTCTCTTTAAAGGGTAAAGGGAAGTTGATGTCGATGAGATGGGGGGGGGGGCGTGACCCCAGGCCATGTAACTTATTACTTAATGAGATGGATAAATCTGAGAAGCGTAGAGACTTAGAGGACTTGGAGTAAAACCAGATCTGAAAACCCCAAATCCCAGATTGCAAGTTCGTGCCCACGGGCTTGGCGCTGGGGCAGTGCATACGGTGTCACCATCTGGGGAGCAGGGCCGGACACTCTCCTCAGAGCATCTTTGCCCCGACAGGGCGTCTCCACCCAGAGAAGAGCAAGGGCCTGGCCAGGAGAACGGTACCCACAGGCCAAGCGTTCGTGTGTGTTCACACAGCAGGATACCCCACAATCCGCAGACACATTACCAGTATTTTTGTATTCAGTTTCAGAACACTTGGATTAGGGGTGCCTGGGGGGCTCAGTCGGTGAAGCGTCTGTCTTCAGCTTAGGTCATGATCTCAGGGTCCTGGGATCGAGCCCCGCGTCGGCAGCGGGGAGTCCGCTTCTCCCTCTCCCTCTGCCCCTCCTCCCTGTTTGTGCTCACCCTATCCCTGTGTCTCTCCCTCTCCCTCTCTCTCTCTCTAATAAATATATAAATGAATAATCTTTTTTTAAAAAAAGAATACTTGGATCACATTTGTAATCATAGTCAATCGTATACATAAATACGTACATAATATATATATTTTTAGAATGATTTATTGAGTTGAAATCCAAATAACATAAAATTATAGAGTGTGGGATCCCTGGGTGGCGCAGCGGTTTGGCGCCTGCCTTTGGCCCAGGGCGCGATCCTGGAGATCCGGGATCGAATCCCATGTCGGGCTCCTGGTGCATGGAGCCTGCTTCTCCCTCTGCCTGTGTCTCTGCCTCTCTCTCTCTCTCTCTCTCTCTCTGACTATCATAAATAAATAAATAAAAATTTAAAAAAAAAATTATAGAGTGAATAATCCAGTAGCCTTTGGACCACCTCCTCTGTCTAGCTCCCCGTTCCCATCACCCCTGAGTAAGACCCCTTGGCTCCGGTGTATTTTTATTAATGTTTAGTTACTTTGTTTTAAAAGGCGCCCTACCTTACCACCGTCCCCTAAAAACAGGCGCTTGAGGAAGCAGAGCGAGTTCAACAGTGTCGAGTCTGGGATCTGATCCTTCTCTCAGCACGTATTCACGGGGTACCCACGGGAACCAGGAGCACCCAGTTTGAAGCCTGGCTCTGTCTCTTATCAGCCAGCGATCTCTGGCTGTGACTTACCCTTTATGCCTTGTGTCTGTAAAGTGGGATAATAGCATTCTCGGCGAAGGGCCGTCAGCAGGATGGAGGAAGTGCTAATTGTACGCCAGGGAGCTGGGCCCGTGCCCGGTGCACCATGAGAGCTCCGTGGGACGTATGCGTCTTTTATTTGATTTTTAAAAATTTGTATTTATTTATTCATGATAGACATAGAGAGAGAGAGGCAGAGACACAGGCAGAGGGAGAAGTGGGCTCCATGCCAGGAGCCCGACGCAGGACTCGATCCCAGGTCTCCAGGATCACGCCTTGGGCCAAAGGCAGGCGCTAAACTGCTGAGCCACCCAGGGATCCCCTATTTGATTTTTTTAAAGCCAGTCAAATTTAGCGGGGGGGGGGGGACAGGGGTGGGGGTTGTATGCCAATGTTAGTGACACTAATGTTAATAAGTTCTGATAACCCACTACCCTCGGACCAGCAGTTAAACCTTT